GGAAGAAGGCGAATTGAAAGAGCGAGTCGCAGAAAAGTATTTTAATATCGTTCTTGTACTGATATCGTTCTTGTTCTAATATTATTTTTAAGTAAAAACGAATAATTGTAGCACGAGGAAGAGATGTATACGCTGAGATTATGGCGAATTGTTAATTACTGCGTATTTTCAACACGATTGAAAGCCACGTTGAAGATGCATGCGCAATGTATTCAGTGCTCACAGGTACTTTCTATACTAGAGATAAATTAAATTACGCCGCACATGTAAATGCAAGCAAGATGTAAAGCGTGAGTCGTACAGCCGGTTTTCCCATTCCTGTCTGACATGTACCAACCAAGTGCGACATTGGAAATAAAGGACGAGAAAATCGCAGAAAATTGCTTTTCATATTTATTATACGTTGACGCAAAACCGGATAACCGGGACGGGCAGAATTAGCAACATTGGATGACGATAGTTGATTGGACTGCAAGTATAGACACGCACACTCGTGTCCACTGTCCACCTAAGGAAAAAAATGCCAACGTACTTGTTTCGACAATTCTTAAAACATCTCCATGTTCATAGATACCGTATACGTCCAAGAACACAATAGTCACCACATCACATTATCCGTAAGATATCATAGTAACTTTTTGTTTACTGACAAGACTGGCGTGACACGCTTTCCTCCACATTCCGTTTTCACATTAAAACTATAACTATAACGCTTTGAAATAGACATTAATTATGTTCGCTATAATGACCAGGATGCCACTCTAAAACACAATTAAACAGAATCGAGGAAATCCGAGATTGTTCCGACTCGAAAACTACGCACCTGTTCATAAGTTATATATGAAGTAATTAATGCGATAATGAGACAAAATCAAGGTTATGCCGATGGAAGTATAAACGGTAAAATGCCGACACAATCCTTGCGAAATTCTTTTCCGGCTTCACCGGCCTGTACAAATGAAAACGAATCAACAGAACTCTGAGGTATGAAGTACATTTACGAAACACAACCTTCGTATTATTAACAAAAGATATATCACCACTATATACGCTCCCTATCGGCGACGTATATTATTTTAGATACTGATTGTGCCACTGCTAAAGAACAACCTATCCGTATGACAAGCCGATAATCGGATATAATTTACACATCTTCGATATTCACAATTTACACGATCCAATCGCGACCAGAGACGGGATCAGAGGCGGACACGGTGTATACGGACGCGGCCACCACGCGTCCGCACCTATATCCATATACAATACGCTCAATATTTACAAGTCCCTGCTCTCGTCGCTGCAACGTTTTCTTTTAGTATACTATAAGGATGCCCCGGCACACTCTACCACGATATCGATCACGAGCAGATTTATACAGGAACCTCGACTCGGCCAACCCCACAGCCTTACGCTTTACCGTAATTTTTAACTGAAAAAAACCACAACAGTAAAATCCTGAAATCAAACGGTACGGCTAGCAGATAATTACTATGCATAGAATTGGCACATGAAAGTGAGCTATCCACATTGCGATCCCTACAGAAATTCCTTGTTCGTTCACGTATTACACCAGTATAGTGACTCGTGCTAGACATCTGCATTATCAGGTAAAATCTCAATAAACGCTGCAACAGAAAGGCGACATTACTTTCACAGTATCTCATTTATACCACCTATATATGCTGCTAGTATACACATACGCATATGCAACCTACACGACACGATACCTATGCAATTAAACAACCGGCGTTAATTGATTAATTAAATCGTAATTAATTAGGAAAACTTCAATGGATTGTATACACTAATTTTATACACTATTACCCTATATAAGTTTCAGAAAATCAGATTATGATGCGAAAACTACCACAGGTTTAAATGTAATCTTATAGATAGCGAAACATTTGATTTACTTTAAATAATAGCACCGACTGCAGGCGCTAACTAAGGACTACAGACGGAAATTAACTAGGAAAGCATGAAGAGCGAGAGAGGGGAAGGAGAGAAAGAGAGGAGGGAGGAGGCGAGAGAAGAGAAGAGAGAGGGGAGAGGATAGAGGACAGAGAGGAGAGAACGAGAAGAGAGGAGAGAGGAGAGAGACAGTGACAGTGAGAGGCAATGAGAGCTAAACGAGAGAAAAATAGGAGAGGGAGTCAGATAAAAGAACCAGGTGGTGGAGAGTGAGAATGGTGAACACATTAAGGGGGCGAGAGACACAGAGAGAGAGAGATCACGCACGCACGCGCACACCCACGCACGCACGCACACGCACACACCCACGCACGTCCACACATTTCATATTTCCTCTCCTCCTAGTCGCGTCTCTTACGTTCTATAGTTCGCTCGTAAATATTCCCCCAGTGACAGACGAATCAGCCGCGCATGTGCAAACCGCATCGCACTAGCCGGATTGGCACAGCAGGCGACGCTTGCCTCCTAGCACGGGCGAGCACGGCAAATCCACCTCCTCTCTCTCCCACCTATACGAACCCACCACACATCTCTCATAACCGGCGGCGAGCGTCCATCTGACGTCATTTGGAACGCTGCGCTAGGCTTTCACTGAAGCTCCAGGTATCGCGAAGCTGCGAGGCACTGCGCATGGCAAAAAATATCCGGCGCGCACACGCATACATACATACGCGGAGAGCGCGTGCCGGCGACGCCAGTTCACGAAATTTCACACGCGCACAATAAGTGTCTTCTAGGCGATCGCGTCGCATCGCTGTGTCACCGACGTTGTTATAGAAACCAGACGAACCTGCAACATATCGTGGAGCACGTAACCTCTCTCTCTCTCTCTAATCCGCTAAAGGTGAGTACGAGTTACCTGTCGCAATTTTCGATGAAATAAGCTCTTCGTAAGATACGGTATTGGATATACGTAGCATTGTTTTTCACTTTACCGTATTATGTCCGGCCACCGGCACTGCACCGGCCTTACTATGCCCGCTTATTTTTTTACAACATATTTATTTATAGATTTATTTATCACGTTGAATGTTCGCGATATCGAGGTATATATCCAGTGTTGCTGAACCTATAGACATCCGGTAGGAATCAGCTTAAAATATCCTCATTCATTATATTATTCACATTTGCGCCGTTTAGATTATGCGTACTAAAATTAATTTCAATTTCAATTAGATTCTTACATATTTTGTTGTATATATACTATGAGAAGAACACATGTATCAATGACACATTTATGATTAATAATGGGTTGTCGATGATATGCGTATACATTTGCTCATCTGTTCTCGCTCTTCCTGTTTTAATCTGTACATGCGGTCGTGTGCGCGCGCGAGCGTGCCTGCGTGCGCGCACGTATTTGCCTTGTGTGAGTGAATGCGTGTGGCTGTGTGTGCGTGCGTGTGCGTGCGTGCGTGATGCATGTGACAGTGTACGTGTCAGGCGCGTGTGCGTACGCGTATGTATTTGCCTTGTTGGACTGAGTGCGTGTGGCTGTGTATCCGTATGCGTGCGTGTGTGTGCGCGCGCGAACGTGCTTGCGTGCGTGCTGCATGTGACAGTGTGCGTGTCAGGCGCGTGTGCGTACGCGTATGTATTTGCCTTGTGGGACTGAGTGCGTGTGGCTGTGTGTGCGTATGCGTGCGTGTGTGTGCGCGCGCGAACGTGCTTGCGTGCGTGCTGCATGTGACAGTGTGCGTGCAAGGCGCGTGTGCGCGCGCATGTTTTTGCTTTGTGTGAGTGAGTTGGCCGTGTGGCTGTGTGTGCGTATGCTGCGTGTGTGTGGCGCGGCGATCCGGCAGCGAAGCGTGCTTGCGTGCGTGCTGCAATGTTGACAGTGTGCGTGTCAGGCGGCAGTGTGCGTAAGCGCGTAATGTCTTTGGCCTGTGGACTGAGTGGCCGTGTGGCTGTGATGTGGCTATGCGTGCCGTGTGTGTGCGCGCGAGCGACGTGCTTGCGTGCGATGCTGCATGTGACAGTGTGCGTGCAAGGCGCGTGTGCGCGCGCATGTATTTGCTTTGTGTGAGTGAGTGCGTGTGGCTGTGTGTGCGTGTGTGTGCGCGCGAGCGTGCGTGCGTGTGTGATGCATGTGACAGTGTAGGTGTCGGGCGCGTGTGCGCATGTATTTGTCTTGTGTGAGTGCGTGTGGTTGTGTGTGACTGTGTGTGCGCGCGTGTGGGCGCTAATGTCCTTGTCCGTGTGCGCGTGTGTATATACGCGTACATTTTGTGCGCGCGTGCGTGTATGTGTGTGTTTGCCGCTCTCGCCAAAATACTTTGCACGTGTTCCCACCCTAAAGCTTAAGCGCGAGTCTTCACAAATAGTCTGCCAACGAGCTTCACAACGAGTTTACCGTTTTCTTTGTATTCCCCAAAGATACCCTAGTATATATGGTCTTTGTATAATATTCCCCCAACGAGACGTATTGCGGAAGTTTTCTAACATTGGCAACGAGTTCTCGCGAATTTGTGGTCATCTGTTTGCGTCTCTCTTTATATTTCCGACACATTTTTTAACCTGTGCAGTGCAGGTCAGTGAGTTCGTCTCTCAAAAAAAAACGCAGGGCAAGGGTCAACACTAGCGCGCCCTACGTAGGGCGTGCGTACGCGTGCGTGCGTGCGTGCGTGCGTGCGTGCGTGTAAGCGGATGGGGAGCCAGGTTCTGCCAGTCTCTGTGGGCTGCTTAAGTCCGCAACGCAGGTTGTCGATTAAGTTGACACAAAAGGAGTAACTATACAAGCGCACATGCACATACAGTGCCATGGTACACCCACCTCATGATCACTGGCGGGCGAAGCGTTTGTGTTTTAACTAGGCGTAATAATATTATCTATTGCGCGACATTTGCTACGTACGGGATATATATATATATATATATATATATATATATATATATATAATATATATATATATAG